GATCTCGCCCCAGCTTTCCTAGGCTGCAGATCTCTAGGGGCAGGTTGAGACCATTCTAGAAGCCTGAGGGCAGCAGGGGTACCGGAGGCACTCTGGGCTTTCATGCACCCCTGCTTCTCCCCCTCCCCCAGGCTGCCTCCCAGCGTCACAGGCCCGGGACAAGGCCCGCCGCAGCTGCCTCGGCCGGGCACGAGGACGGAGCGGGCGCTCAGGCTGCATGCAGGGGCTCAGCCGTGGAGCTGGCAGAGGGCACAGGGCGACCTGCGGCCTTCTCAAGTGCTGGCCGCCGGGACGGACTAGGCAGTCATTCTATATTTTGGAAGTAAAGGGGAGAGGAGAGAAAAGAGTGACGACTTGAGAATTCTCCTTGTTTTGCAAGGTTTGGGCCTGTGACTTCCCCAGCGGCATTCAACCTGTGCCGCTTTCCAGGGATGTTTTAAAACGGAAATCAGACTCGGAGGGATGTTTAGACTCTTCTGCTCTGTTAAATACACATACAGGGGCTGGCACGTTACCATTCTTAATGAAATACATGTATATTTTATACAAAGACTCATCCCAGGGAAGGTGGGGGCACATCTGTGGCCAGCAGTCAACCCCCTTAGGGGTGTGTATTTTTATTCCATGGTATTTTTTTGTTTTTTTGTTTCTCAGTGAGAAGTTTGGAGGCAAAACCAATGACTCTCGTCTTCTCTTTCCACAGCGATATCTGGCATGATTGTTCCCCCCATGTGAAAGAATTGCCTTGAAGAATTTTGTTAATGAAGAGGTTGGATTCTGCTACAGAGAGTAATCTGATACAAGTCCCCGAGTGGAACTTTTAACTCAGGCCTTTTCCAGAGGAATCACAATAACTGCAGATTTTTAAACAAACAATATCACCGACCTTGCGAGTACTGAAATTGGAAGGGATCTGTGAGTGCAGGGTGTTGGTTAGAGTTGTACCTCCCAGATGTTTGGGGGATATATTTATTCTGTGTTGATAAGAGCAAATCCTCTTTTCCTTTCCACTTTTTTTTTTTTTTAAAGCTCAACTCTGCGGTCATTTGTCTTTTATAAACCGTAAAGCTGTATACAAGGGACACTATAAATAAGACCCCGTGTTTTAATTTATGACGTTTTTAAAGCTGTGTAACGGGAGAATGAAGTGATATTTACAGAAAAGTTAAAAAGAAAAAAAAAGAAAAAAAGCCAAAAAAGAAGGAAAAAAAAAAAAAAAAGCTTGTATGGGACAGAATAGGAATGCCAGTTAGATTTTTTAGAAAACTAAGAGTCGGCTTTTGCGCCTTAAAGCATATCAAATGGTAGTTAGCTCAGACCGTGCATTTTCAGTATCTAACTTACCACGCCACCCCTTAGCAGTGCAAGCTTATTTCTCTCTTTTGTATCTTTGTCTTAAGTGACTGTGTAAATAAATGCAGCCTGGAGAGTTAAAAAGTGATGTTAAGTGATCACATGTTTCCCTTCAACTCAAGAATCCAGTGCCTCTAGACAGATTGTTAAAACTGCATATTTAAACCTGATACCATTCTCGCTTTTAATTATGTCAACTTCTCCGGAAGCCCATGGCCTCTTGAGAACTTGGTGGCACACAGACCGTGTGAGAATCTCCTTCGAATCTTTATGGAACAGGGTCCAGGCACAGAATTCCACACTCTGCCCTCCAGCTGTCAGGCCAAAATCCCTCCTCCACGCCCGCCATTCACAAGGTAGACGTTTACTCGTCCTGGACGCAGACGTCCCACCCGTCCCCGCAAAGCCCGCGAGGGCCCGGTGGCAGGTATTCCCCAGCTCCCTCGGAGACAGAGAGAGGGGCTCCCTCCGTGGACCCTTACATTTGTAACAGTAGATTAAAAGAATAGGCGAAGTGCTTTGGAGTTAAGAGTAAAGGAAACTGGGAGAAAGGAGAAGCAGGTTGAGACCTCCAAGACGTGGTTTTCTGCTCTACGGCAATTTTTGCTCTCTTTATCTGGGAAGTGTTCTTAAAAATAAGAATTGATAGCAAAGATGCAGCGAAGCTATGAGGATGCATTTGCCTGATATATTTTTTTTTCTTTGCTGTTGTGTTTTTGTATGTAGTTATAAATACTGTAGATTTTTTTGTGATTTTTTTTTTTGCCAAAGTTGTTGTTCTATTTATACATTTTAATGTCTTAAGACAGTTTTTCAATATCACAAAAAGGTTTTACCGCGTATTTTGCAAAGGAAAAAACAGCTCACTACCTTTAGCTTGCACATACTTGCAAAGTTAATTAACAAAAGGCTTTCTGTTTCAAAGGGGATTTTGTAAAATATCCATATAAATAATGTATTTATCTTTGGAATTTGTACATTGCTTTCCCTTCTTCCTTTCCCTCCCACCTCCAACTTATTTTATTGTGTATGTTTGCTATGTGAAAAAGTGCGTATTTGTTTGGTCACCTACAGTTGTATTAGCTGTTCCAATGTGATTTTTAAACATTTCATTTATAGTTATTTTTAGTATTGTTTTAAACCATGCTTCAATTTTTTTAAATTTCCACCCAAAAGCCATTGTCTATTTTTGTATTATTTGTAAGTTAAGAAGTTTTTTCCAATATATGGCAAAAAAAAAAAAATAGTAGCATATTATTCTTGTAGCATTTAGTTCTGTAGAGTAAAAAAAAAAAAAAAAAAGATGTATCCTTTGCTTTGGAAGCTTACAAAAAAACAAACCCTAATGCTGTTTTACTCTATTAATATGCATGGAATCTCTCCCTCTGGAGTGACGCATTTTGTGCATTAAATTCGGGGGAGAAACTTCATAGAAATCAATGAACATTCTTTCTTAAGTCTGCTTGTATATTTCCTCTGTCTTTCACATAAATATAAACCAGCAGATTGGATGCCTTAACAATGCAAATCATACTCATTTCACTTGTACATTGTAAGTGTGCACCAGAACTGTCAGTCATCACTAACATTATAAGAAAAAAGAAAAAGAAAAAAAAGAAAAAAAAAAACAAAGAAATCGAAAAGCACAAAAGAACTGTTTTGTTACCTTAAGACAATGTAACTTTTTCTAGTAGAGCAAGAAATTTACAACAATGCTGCAACTGTGCATGCCCCCATATGGATTTTGCAATGGTTTTCACTAGACTGTCA